CTCTCTACATTTTTGTAAACTTCTCTCCCCCTAAAAAACAAAAATAACAAAAATACTTTGTCTTTTATTTCTCAGACTTCAGAACTTGTTTTTTTCTTTCAGAAAACTGAAGAATGGGAAAAAAATAAAACAGAAGCAGACATGGAAGAGTATATATGGGAAAATAGTTCCTCAGAAAAAAATATCCTGGAAACACTTCTCCAAATTAAAGCTGCTGAGAAAAATATGGAAGTAAATAAAGAAGAGCTCCTTGGTACTAAAGAAGTTGAAGATTACAAAAAGGCTGTTGTTAGTCTTAAGAATGAGGGGGATAATGAAAATACCCTTTCTGAGTACAAAGAATCAGTGAAGAGACTATTAAATTTGACATGAATTATGAAATTTTAAAAATCTTGATTTATCAATTTTGTGATATTTGTAATCAATGACTAATTTCATATAAATTGAAAATGTGAAAAAAAACTTGTTTTATGTCAGAGTTAAAATTATTTCATACTAATGTACAGTGGCAACGATTATTCCAAAATTTTCTTATTTATATACTGTGGCAATTAGACTAATTAGAAGATCTTTGTGATTTCTTGTTTTTCTAAAGTATTTTGATTTTATTTCTGTATAACAGCTTTACTGTTCATATATATATATATATACACACACACACACACACACATATTTAATTGTTATTTGTCACCTGCTACAATTTTTTCCTCTCTAGTTGGCATTTAGTGGATGCTTTTGAATTATGGTTTTGATTGTATTGGAAGTTAGGACAAGAACCCAGTCCCCTGGCTTGCAGTTCAGTGCTCTGTTCACATCACTGCTGTCGATCCAATTCGTCTATCACAATTACCGATTCTGGTTAGAAACAGGTCCTCGGGAGTATTTTCTAACCTAAAATTTTTGTTCCATCTCTCCCTTTTGGGGGCAGTTTTTGTTGATTCCACTCTGTTTAGCACCTTACTTTCTATATTCTGGGGCTTTTTTTGCTAACCTCAAACTAGAAAAGTAGAAGTGGAGATTAGCTGATATTCATTTGGATGCCCTAGTTAGAGCAGCCACAGCTCAAGAACAGCATAAGGTATAAGGACCTTGAATTTAACTAGAGTAATGACAAAATGAAAACTACCGTAAGAAATATTCCATTTGGTTTAGCTGTAAATTCAGAATTTTTAAGTGTATCTGTAAGTCATTTCTTACCACTTCCAAAGTTGTTGACAAGCAATTAAAATCAAAACAAAGGAATTATTGAGTCATTGACAAGTGATTAATTTAAAATCAAAGCAAAGGAATTATTGAGAGTTTATTTGCCTAACAGACTTATTTTGCCTAATAATTGGAGAATACAAATGAAAGTCAAAAGGAATTTCAAAATGATTGCCTAAAACATTTGTATAAAATGAAGGTATGATTTGGTATTAGTAAGGCAAGGGTCTATAGGTTATATAAGCAATAATATGGCCTTGAGTACAAAAAGGAGAGAGATATGTTGTGTTCTATTGGATGGAAATAGTGAGCAAAAATAAAATGGATAAAACTGAATTTTTAAATCATATTTAGAACATACTTTAAGAAATATAATGTGTCAGTACATTTAGAGACTCATAAGGAGTTAAGGAAAACTCAGATATAGAAATAAGATTGAGGAAGGATACATTTTGAAAACAGTAGAAACCAAGTTCAAGGGTTCAGATCCCCGCACCGGCCAGCCACCAAAAAATATTTTAAAAATTAAAAAAAGAAAAAAGAAACTAAAGTGATTATTTGGGAACATAGGAAGAGGTGGCAGGTTAGGGTGGTCCTTCCTGTGTAGTAATACATTGCAGATAAAAGCAGAGGGAGCAATGCTGTGTAGTAAAGAATTTGACCTTTCCCAAAGAGAGATCTGGTCTTTGTTCTTGGCTTCTAGGAGGTAATCTGTGTCATACCTGGTAGGAGTGTCTTTGTTTAAGGTAAGAGCCAGCCCAAGAAGATCTGAAGTTGAAACTGGCCAGGCCAGAAAAACCAACCACATGACTTAGGGTGGGGGCTTTCGGTCACACAATATCAGTTATCAGTCCACCTGGCAGCTGAGATCAACTACCCAGGCATTCAAGGAATCAATCATACCTACGTAATGGAGCACCAATAAAAGCTTTGAGGCTAAGCAAGCTTCTCTGATTGACAATACTCTGCACATATTGTCATACACTGATGTTGAGAGAGTAATGTGTTCTGGCTTTAGGGGTAGAGGACACCAGAAGCAAAGCAATTGGAACCTTTCTGGACTCAACTTTACGTGCTTATTCCCTTGGGTGACTTTAATCTGTATCCTTTCCCAGTAATAAACCATAATCATGAGTGTAATAGTTTTCACTGAGTTCTGTGAGTTCTAGTGAAATTGAACCTCAGGGTGGTTTGGGGAACCTTCCCCCACAAAACTTACAGTTGGTGTCAGAAGTGAGGGTGATCTTGTAAAGGACTGTGCCCTCTTGTGCAGTTTGGCCAACTCCAAGCAACTGACCTGAAGCCTCTTAGGTGGCAGTCGTTGATGCCTAATGGCAAAATCTTAGAGCTGTAAGATTAATACAAAATGGCCTCAAAAAGATAATAGTTGCTGTCATAATTTTATCAATAATTAATTGGCACTGTGTCAGTTAAATCCTCCTTGTCCTTTAAAATCTGTTAATTGATCCAATATATACAATGAACATTATACTCTTTCTTACAATGAGGACTCTAGGGGACAATTTTTGCTGTATTGATAATGTGGTCATTTCTGACTTTAAACTCTTAAGTTGTATAGCTCAGAAGTTGCTTAACACTTAGAAAACTAAGAAATAGATCAAATTTGTTTTCTTAATTGTAGGGTGATTTAGTTTATTTTCTTTGCAATGTTAGTAAGTATTTCATAATACTGGATAGTTAGAATTTTTTTTAAAGGTCTGGCTAGGTATAATGTTGGAAACATTGCATGATTACTTCCTAATTGGGTGTAACAACCTTTTCCTTGGTTCCTGACTGGGCCTTGAGATCATTGGTTGTTTCCCAATATTTTTATGCAGAAGTTCTCCTTTGTCCCTTGGGCTTCCAGTAAGGATGCAGTTTCTAGCCCCAGTTGTTTTTGCTTCTGGCTGTCTCTGGGTTTGCCTCTCCAAGTTTACTCAGTTTATCTGATGGTTGAAAGTATGGACTGAAGAAGAGTATGCTTGTTTTCTTACAAAAATAAATGTTTTTCTTAAATTATGGTTATTTCTATGAAACTATCGACTTTAAGGAATGAGTAAATTCTGAGAAACACCAAGAAAGAAATTTTTTTTTTTCTAGAAGCTCTAGTTGGAAGATGTCAAAGCAATTCTAAATAATTTCCAAAAAGAATGTGCATACAAATAACTTGTACAGATTCCTGAATTATTTATTTAAATATAATTTTAGGATAATTTAAATCTTTTTATTCCTCTCCCTCCCTCCTCCCCAATAGTATGGGTTTTTTCCATAATGTATTAGGAAAGAAATTGATAAAATTTATAATAACTAATTTTATGAAATATTAGCAAGGTAAAGTAAATTGATTAACCTTTTAAATCAGATTTTTATTTGTGGTCAATATTCCACCAATAGAGATTTTGTATATTTTTTATACTAAAAGAAATAGTCATTCTCTTTTTTCACCCAGTATCAATACCAGGGAAAGAAATAGAACATCTCTTAAGCCACCAGATAATTCGTTTTAATATCTGAGATAATAGTACTATTTTATTAATCTTGTGATAGGATTTTCCCCTTATCTATTCTTTGTGTTTATTGTCTGTCTTTAGAATCTGTTCTCATATTAAAAACAGGTTTTAGGGCTGGCCCGTGGCTCACTTGGGAGAGTGCAGTGCTGATAACACCAAGGCCACAGGTTCGGATCCCTATATAGGGATGGCCGGTTTGCTCACTTGGGAGCGTGTGCTGCTGACAACACCAAGTCAAGGGTTAAGATCTCCTTATCAGTAATCTTTTAAAAAAAAAAAAAACCAAACAGGTTTTAGGAATGAGATGAATTTCAAGATCCTTAGAGACTTGAATTATAATATTCTACATTTAAGAGTCTGAGTGTAAGATTTAGGGAGTAAGTCTGGTGGAAGATTTGGATAGAGCTGAAATACCTAACACTAATATACGTGGGAAAACAGAATGTACTGTATACAAGTGAGGGTTGTAAACCAAAATTCCCAAGATTTATTCTACAGAAATCAACACAGAAAAAGCTCCGTATCATAATTATTGAAAAGCACCTTAGCTTTAGAAAATAAAGAAAGTGGATTGGAATTGGGAAGGATTAGTCAATTGAACATACAAAGCTAGATAAAAATCAGGAAGCATTTGCTAATGGGTAACTGTAATAGTGCTCTTTTGCTCAGATCTCTAAATGATTTTATTACTATATGTGACAATAATCTGACCTTGACTAGGAGACCAATATGGTGTTAAGGTGTTTTCTTCCTTGTATCTTTTTTTTTTCCCTTAATGCTTATTGGAAAAATGAAGGCCCTTCATCTAACAGTGTTTTTGAGTTTGGATTTTGAACCAGATTGCCTATGTTTAATTAAGTCTTAGCTTCACTGCTTGCTAGCTGTGTGATGTTAGGTAAGATGCTTAACCTTCCTTCACCTCAGTTCCTGATCTGTAAAGTGTGATGATAATAGTGTGATGGTTAATAATAGTACACCTAACACAGAATTGTAAGAATTCAATGTGTTAATACCCCTAAAGCCTTAGAACTGTAACTCAAACATAGTGCTAAATAACAACTGCAGGGGTCAGAATTTTGGAATTTTGGCAAAGAGAACATTAGTCAAAAAATGGAAATAATTAAAAAGCAGTTATGTTTACCAAGCATCAGTCCTCTTTAGAGATTGGTAGGAGTGGGCATCCTGTGTAATTATTTTTTAACCAAACTGCCCTTGTCTTACAAGAACTAAAAATGATACCCTTGAAAGCTTACAATCTCACTACAACTTTTACTATTAAGAGTTCTCCTACAGAGTGTTACATTTTTTAGTTTGCCTGGATACTGACTTTCTGTGTCCTAGTTTATACTGGCCCTGCTGTTTTCGACAGCATCCAGATGTCAGGATGACCATACAACAGCAAAGAACAATGACAGAGGTACAAAGGGCCACAGGAGCCAGCCAGGTCTTTGAAGTCACAGGTGCCCCATCAAGTGTCCCATCTTCATTCTCAGATGTGTGGTTTCTGCTGTTGTATCCCTTGGTTTTGTTCAGTAATTGTTTGCTACTGTTGAGTCGGGATGGAACAGGCATATGAGAAAGTTTTGTGTCTACGGGTATGAAGAAAGGAGAAATAGTCTTGTTATCTGGATTGTTTAGGAAGTCAGTACTTGGTGATGCCATATTTACCTTTGTGGTAATGGACTCATTCAGGGAAATGAATCTTGCCCCCAGATCTTTGGTTAATTCCTTGGAATAACTGCTATTGTTTCTGTTTGCAACCAAATCTTGATGAGTGGTTGATGATGGAGCCTCTGTTGTTGGCAGCAAGTGGTTTATCATGGTGGATTGTTGTTTATCCAAATTCATAGCTTTTAGAATCCTTGATCTGTTCCATCTATTAGATGAAGAACGGGTATTTAGATATGAGGGAGGTGATTGTTCAAAAACCAGCAAATCTGGATCTCTACCTGAAAGATAAATAAGGCATCATTCATTTTATTTATAATTTTAAAGGGCAAACCTTCAAGCATAGTTTGGAGAAGTGCTGCATTTTGCCACTATGAATTACTGAACTAAGCTACATTCAAGTTCTACCATTGCATCCTTCTGAAAGGCTTAGAAACGTTCTGGCTACATTTGAATTTATCTTAACTTTTTAGGACACTTTGAACAAATTTGGTTACACCCAAGGAGAAGGTATTGTGTCTGTCAGGGCTTTTGCACAGCAAGAGCAAGAGTTAGTACCACAGCTGTAGAGACAGTAAGCATCTGAGATATGACACAGTGTTCTTAAACAAAGTTAAACAAAATAGGGCCCGAGAAGGGTAACTGTATTCAAAATCATGAGCAAAGCCTTAAATCTCATCTGTTTCAGGTCTCTGGGTCCTGCTTTGTCTGTAGTATTTTTTTTCTTCTTGTATACTAACTCCTTTTCTTCTGACTTCAGACATGCACAAATACTGCTTTGTCTTTGAAGGGGAAGAAAAAAACTCTCAACAGCTTTCCGATGGTCGGTCCTAGTGACCACACTGTTTCTTTCTCTGTCTCTCTGGTTCTCTGTCTCTCTGTCTCTGTCTCTGTCTCTCTCTAACCCTCTCCTTCCACAAACATGCCATTTCCCCTTCTGACTTTGTTTTGCCTCTGTAATCTTGTTTCAATCCTCACTATTCTGTCAAAATCATGCTGCTGAGGTAATCAATTGTTTCCTTATTTCCTGATCACTTGTGTCTCACTGCTCTGGCTTCTCCCTTGTCCTTGATACTGCTGGCCATCTTCTCAAAATTGAAGTTCTTCTCCCAGGACACCTTGGACCTCACTCCCCCTTGACATTTTACCCTAGACTGCCTGCCTCTCATTGTTACTTTCTTTTGCTGGTTCTCTTCTTTTGCTCTGAACTGGTTGTGCAGTTTCCACAATCTTCAGCCCCTGGTCTTCAGCTGTATTTTCTCTTCACCACCCCCTGCCCTCCCTCACACACAAGGTGTCCACAACTGCCACTACATTGAGGGCACTGAAATCCATATCACCATATTTTTTCCTCTTTCTTGAGCTCTGATCTCATGTCTCTAGTGTTCTACTGGAGTTTTCCACCTGAACATCTCACATTACTTTTAACTTAATATGCCCAAAGCCAAAATCATTATGTCTGCCTCCCTGTCTCGTTCAGTGACGTCACCATTCTTCCATCACTCATACTGGAATCTGTACTGCACAGTGATTTTTAATTTTTCTCTCCTCTTCATTTCCTTCATTCCAAAAGTGACTAAGTACTATTCACTCTTTCTTCCCAAAGTTCTGGGAATTATCCCTCCTCTTCATTGCAACTATGATCACCTTGTCCAGACCTAATGCTTCCCTGACTAGATGTTTTAATGTGTATTCTGCATATACTTTTCCTCGACTAAGATAACCAGACTTATTTTAATTATGGTGTTTTCTCACTAAATGCCTTTGTTGGCTCCCTGTTTCTGGCAAAGTCACACCAAAGCTCCACTCTGTCCACAGCCCTTTTGATACCCAGCCCTCCCCATCTTAGCCATATTTTAATTGCAACTCCAAGCGTCCCCTTAGTGTATCCAGACCAGTTGTCTTCCCGTCCCATGGCATGATATAGAACTCTTTATCTTGCCTCTGCCTGGCCTCTTCCATGAAGCCTCCTCTGAGTCAACTAGTCTCATTAGTTTCATTAGTCTACCCTTCTTTAAGCCTTTGCACTAAGGTAATATCACACATTTTTGTATTTAGCTATATATCTTGAACTAATTTTAAGACTTGTCACATCAACTAGATTATAAGGAACTTGAGGACAGAGATACTGCTGCCATCTTCTGCAATGTTGAGCTGAGCCTGGAGCATGAGATGTTCAATAGATACTCATTGATAAAGAAATTTATCTCCCTTGGATTTTGATGGCAAAAATCTATTCTTTCATGGTCACTAATTTGCACCCTGAGATTACATATACGGGCAAAGGACAATTAAATATGTGTTCTTCTAAAAAAATACACTGGTTATATTGGGACCAATGATATGCTAACGTATGTCAGTGGTAAGTTTTCCTGCCCCTGACATCCATCTTTGCAGAATCCTTGTATGCAACATCCACAGACCTCAAAACTGACATTTAGCATTTTCTTTTATGTCCCAGCGGCACCCTCAGCCATTGCAGTAGAAATGCCTACTTTGGCTTATGCTGAGTAGTCTTAAGAAACGTGAAATATTGTGCATAAGCTCTTAGTCACGTATGATTTGTTATCATCTGGAGTGAACTGATTGCCAAGCATGCTAAACTAAAAGGAATTTCCTTTCAGTTTTGTCCTCGATGACCAAAACTTTTCCAGACATAGTTCACTGAAAAACAATGATTTAGTGACTTATACTTGGCTACTGCCAGCCAGTTTCTAGGCTGTATGCCTCTGCTAGAGCGTTACCAATGTTCTTCAAAAGTCTTGCAATATATAATTATTACCTTCTGTTATGTTGTATAAAATGGCACTGGTTCCAGGCTCTAATATGCAGCTCTCCAAAGTTGGACAGTGGATATGGAGGCAGTTGACATTGTCATGAATGGGATCATGATAGAAGACAGCCAGGTTACAGGAAACTGAAAGAGAAACAGGCAAAGTACATCTGCAGATGGTCTTGACATCTACCAGTCTGATGAGCTGCATTTCTTTCAGGAACACTGGATTGACAGTATATTGTGGGGCTATGTTCACACATTTTACAGAATATTATGAACTATTATAACTGCCTCTATAAATATGGAAAATGCCTTTCTAAAAGAAAATACCTACTGATTTTCTCTAAGTAATCTTTCATACGTTCCATTCCACACAGGATAACTGGAATCATTATTTCCTAGTCTCAATATTTTGTGTTCCTGAAAATTCAATTGGCTACAAAAACCTCTGGTATTTATTTATTTATTTATTTATTTTTATTGAATCATAATTGATTATACATATTTTGGGGATTCATTGTTGATATATGTTGATCAAATCAATATCACTAGCATATATATTGTTACAAATTGTACTTATTCTTTATGCCCCTTGTCCAATCTCTCCCCATCCCTCTCTCCCTCCCCCCTCTCCCCTCTGATAACCCTAGATTTCTTCTCTTCCTCTGAAGGAGTAATGGTTACTCTGTTGATTTGTTGCCTAGATGGTCCGTCCAATGCAAAAACCTCTGGTATTTATAAATCAGGTTTCTACGTGCAGTGCCACCTCAGAATGCTAAGGGGCTGGGGGGGTCACCAGGGAAAGAAATAGAAAAATAAAGGAACAAATGCTGTAACAGAAGAAGAGGGAGTAACAGGAAGGGCAAAAAGAGTAATTACTGGGAGAGGCCCAGATGGTGGAAAGTCAGCCGGCCAAGAGAACGTTACCCTTGACCCTCATGCAGGTGTGCACTAGCCCCATGTGCAAAAACACATCCAACAAAAAGCCTAATCAGTATCATTTCAAGAGGCCGGTAGTGGATAGGCAAGGATGTCAGCACATGGAATTCTAGTGGGTGAGGCACATCACTTGCTCATCCCCCTTTCTAAGCAAATTTGCTCCCTAAAATATGCTGTATTATTTCTGGACAAACTGAAGTCTGATTTGTCGAATGCAAATTTTCAGTCTATCCTCCCTAAAGTGCAACAGAGATTTTGCTCCTGCTGTGGTGCAGTAGGGACCATGTGATGTAAAATATGCATTGGTCAGAAGGTATCAACTTCTTTAATAAAGTAAGATTACAAAGGGACAGCATATGATTACCAGGCCTCAGAGCATGCCTAAAGTTGCTGTGGATTTGCTGCTGCCAGAGCCTGTCCTGCTTCTGTGTAAAGTTAACTACAGGAGATACACCTCCACCATTACTTCTGGGACACTCTCATGTTTCTGCATTCTTTATTTTTCCAGAAGGAAAAAGAACAGGACACAGTTAATAATGCATTGCTAATACATTGTAGATTACCAATACATCCCCTCAGGACTGTGCTGTAAAATTTAAGGGAAAGGAATAAAAATATTCAAATTTAAGACATTTAAATTTCTGATAAGAAGTAGTTGATGCCATAGAGAATAATTCTTAAGGACTTTTAACATTCCTTTTATAGATTTCAGAGTCCCAGCTCTGAGCAGGAGCATGGCATTTTAAAGTTCTAGCTTCCAGCTAAAAAGTGAGATTTTAGTGCCTTTCAGAAAGTGTCTTTCTGCCCTTTTTTGTTCTGAAGGAAGAAAGCCACAACTTGGAAGCTACAGAGGCTCTAAAATCATGGTATTGTCCTGGATGCTTACATTATCCCTGAAATTCCAGAGGTTACAGCTTCCCTGGTGTGGAGAGTCAGGTAAATTCATTCCATGGGAAAATTCAGAAAAGGTACTGTCCCTCCTCCACCTTCCCTCAGTGAAGGCTTATGGGAGTTAGAAGCATCTGGAAGGGGGAAATAATGGATTTTCAAGTCTTTTCAAAAAGACTGCCTTTTATTAAATTAGTTGCTTTCTTTGTGCCTGATTGACTTTTGAGGGCTTGGCCTGTGACAGTTTCTCACACTGTGGTCTCTTGACAGTCTGTTTATAGTCTCCAAGTAGCTCCAATTTCATCTCAGAAATTTTACAGGCATAATTGGATACGAGGCATTGGAAATAATTAAGTTGGTGTCAAGCCATGGAAAGAAAGTGTGGAACAACCAAGGGAATTATTTTAAAGTGCTGTGTTGCATTTGTTGTTCCAAGTAGCTTTAAAATCTTGGGAAAAAATGAAAAATAAAAGAAGTCTATAGGCAACTGAACTCGAAATTCTGCAACAATTAAATGTTTTCCTAATTGCAAGCCTTGATCATAGGATATGGATAGTTTTTACACCCAGATTCCATATTACAAACAAAAATCTATTAGGAAAATTTGAAACAATTTTTTTTTCTTTTCTTTTTTTTTTTTCTTTCTTTCTTTTTTTTTTTTTTTGCTATTTGACATGTATCTCCCTATTTCTTTTAAAACATAAAACACACTCTAAATTCCTGTTCAATACATCTGACATTTCAAAAATTTGATATAATACCAATATCACCAAAAGGTACTTTGAAAAGGAAATTATTATAAAAATTTTTATAAAAAATTATTATAAAAATTTTTGAAATCGTATTTTTTATATTTGGAGCTATAAAAATATTATTAGTTAACCCTGGAGGAAATATCTTCAATCAGCACTTTGGTGAAGAAAAGAGGATTCTGTTTCCTGTAAGTTCTATAACATTAAAAAAAAAAACAAGTTTGTGCACTGATTTAAATTTTTTGTGTTTACTGAAAAAAAAACCTTGAAAATAAATAAAAACTGAAAATGAAATAAAATTTAAAATGTTAATTTTGCAGTAATTACAAAAACATTGAATATAGATTCTGGTCCCTTCTCGTGGTCAGGTATTTTTTCACAAAGGGCAATCACAAAGCTTTCTTCTTCAAAGACTAAAGATTTAGCCTAAAGAAAATGCTCATAATGTAGATGGGATATAACACCCATTAAAGTGTATACTGTTTTACCAAGTATAAAAAGTGTAATTTACAGTGAAAATTGTAAAGGGATTCAAGTTGGAGATTGTCTAATCTGTTTTCCTGACATTCATGTTTGCAAGTTACAAATGAGACTTCTTTATGAAGTCATAGATAAAGGCATAGCATCTCTGATTGAAACAGAAGTAGTTGTTAAGAAATGTTCGTTAGGGAAACGGTGAAATGGTTTTAACTTCTAAATATCAATAAAGTGACTTCAATTGCAATGCCAAAACATTTGAAAAGGCAGTGAAATGTCCTCTTTTGTGCAGATTGTGGGTTCCATATCCCATGATGTTCAAGGTGACAAATTAGCTCCAAGCATAAAACTGTTGCTTTTTTGTATCCATTTTTATACAAATCATTAGTGATAATCAGCTATTGGCATAAAATATACTGCTCCTTTTTTTTAAAAAGATGAAACTTTTTCTAACGTGTGTTCTGTGTTTCCTTGATATCTTTTTGTATAACTTATCCACTTACTTGACACACAAAAATGTTAATATTCTTTGAACTTTCATTTCTCCACTTTGTTTCCCAATAATAGGCATCATAATTAGCACATTTAAATTTTTTTAGAAGCATATAATATTAATAATCAATAATGAAGAGGAAAATACTTAAGACTAAATAACTTCAAAAACAAAACATTTAACTTTTTCCCAAGCAAAAGTTAAATCAGGCACTAACTCCTAACTTTGCATAGGCCACATAAAATACACTAAAAATGATAAATATTTCATTTTAATGAACTTCTTATAGAAAGCAAGTTTCAGTTGCTTACCTGTAAAGAGTCAGACTATTCCATTTCTTCTAAGGGGACAGGGAAGAGAGGTTTCTAATGACAAAGCAAGGGACAGATGAGTAACAAAAAATTATTCTCTATTTTTGTGAGATTCTATAGCTATTTCTATTAGGAAATGACATCATAACATAAACTGGAAAGTCTACTTTCTAACCTCATGACCACCAGGTCTTCGAGTCACATTAAATGTAGTTTCTTTTGTGTGATATATAATTCCCTGAAGTTTTCTTGTTCCCTGCAGGGATAATGGAACAATCCACAATTGTTTAACCCTTTTGCTGGCAAATGATAGTCAAGTTGAGATCAATGTTTCATTTTAAAAGATCTACGAGTTCCAATGTAGAAGCATGCTTGGAAATTTTAAAAACACATTTTTGTGGTGATTACATAAATATTAGTTCTGGAAATGGGTAACTTTTGGGGGCCAAGTATTCTGAAAAGGAATGGTGGAAACTGGACTGCAGGGGCAGAGAGAGAAATCCACCACAGCCTCAAAACTAGTCCCTGTGAGGTGAAATTGCAGAAACCAGAAACCAGGAAGGAACTGCAACTATGAATCAAAAGTTGGCATATATAGCCTTTGTTACAAATCTTATCAAATACCCAGAACCAGTACACTATTGCAGTGTAGTGATACATTATATTTATTTCATACCGGGTGTTCTTGAGAGGGGTCCAAAAATGAGATTCATACCTTAAAGAACACTTATCTCCTTCAAGAAACTGATTCAGTAGCTCTGTTATGGGGACAAGGATCTTTTATTTTTACAAGTGTCTCATGCAATTTCCTAAGATTTTTGGAAAACACTGATATAGATGACTTAAATAAACGAAAGTCTGGCTACACGAGGATGCTCAACTTAAAAAGAGTCATTTTAAGATCTTGTTCTACTTTTATTTTATTTTAACCAACCCATAAGCTTTGACCTAAGGACGACATTTTAGTTTTGCTTGTTAAAAAATAAATGACAAGAAATAATGTGGTTTGAGGAATATTGGAAGGACTGGAAAAGCAGACATAAATATTTTTTAAGTGGTAGTGAAGTAATAGCATAGGTTTACTGAATTTAAAAGGCATTTGAAAAAGTCAATACTTCACTCATTTTAAAATTGCAAATTTTATTACTTAATATTTCAATTTCTTGATAAAATTAATCGAAATTGTTACTAAAATAAAGCCTGAGAAAAATAAATATAATGCCATTAGCTTTTCTTTTTAAATGTTTTTGCTTTTATTAAATAGATATATGTCCACTTTAAGAATCCAAACCATATAGAAAAGTACAAAAAGAAATAAAACTATTCAAGATCTTACAATCTTAATATCTTAGCAAACATCTTTTTGTATATCTCTATTAAACATACATATATGAACTGTCAAAAGACAAAATCACTACAAATTTAGTTTAAAGATCTTAATTGGCTTTTATTTGTGACTCTAGAATCAGAGAACCCATCATAAAATAAAACGAGGCACTCCAATGAGCCAAGCAGAGGAGGCTGGTTTTATAGACAGGAAAGGGTTGAGGAAAGCAGAAACAGAGAACAAAAAGCAGATTGGTTGTTTCAAAGTTACTTTCCTTGTAAAGGTTAAAGCAGAGGGGAGTTCCTTACCATCTCAACTAAAATTGGCCTATTTAGGGATTTGGCTGTTATCTCTCTCTCTTTCCTGATTCCTGGCAAGATCAGATAAAGATCTTAGTTTTAGCTTGGTGGTGTGGAACTTCAACACCAATAACTCCAATTTGGTTTGGTCTGTTGGGACTAGTGCAGGAGCTCAGTCCAAATCAATGGCCTCCCATAAATAAAATACTGTTAAATAAAAGTTAAGTAGAATCATACTGTTCCAAGACTTGTTGCTTTAAAACCTGATGTAAAATTATATTTTTCTTTTTTTTTTTTTTTTTTTTCTTTTTTTTTTTTTTTTT